ACGGGACTACCCTCAGCATCCACGAGGGGCTCCCCATCCCCGTTGACCACCATGGTTTCCGATTCGAATAGGGAGTCCAGGGCAGTTTGGGTGACCGACTGCAGCACGTACCATTTATCTTTGAAATCCCTCACTGAGTCCATGTACATCCTGAACAGCCTCTTCGACTGTTTTAGGGATACCCAGTTGTGCTTGCCTCCTCGAGACTGACGTTGCAAGTGAAAAACCCTGAAGAAAAGGGGAATCGTCGCCCCAATTCTCAGGAAACGGCAGGTCAGCTCGAACGCCCGGAGGAAGGCGATCGCGTTGGGGTGAAGCTGCGAAGGAGCCAGGTTCAGATGACTAAACACCTCGACTTGAAAGTCACTAAAGGGTAGCCTAAGACTGAGATCCCTGAACACAATCTCGTACATAGGGAATGCGTACTTAGTAAACTCCGAGCAGATACGGGCGTCAATCGTCGACCTCATTATCCTAAAATTCTTTTGAAAACCTTCATGAGTGCCGCCATGCTCGACAACAGTATAAGCACACCGACTACGACGACAGTACGCCGAAGCAATCCCCCGGGGCTCGGCGCCTACCCAGACCAACATAGGGTCGTCGATGGTGTCGACTAATGTAACGTTCTCTTCTGTACTTGTTTCCTCTATGTCATTATGTCTCGAGGATTCCGGATTATCGGCCATTTACCTGCAAAGCACAGGAAACCGGTGAATTCGACAGCAAATCCGCGTGCTCGCCACAGAGGCGGGGAGAAGTACAAAACGATTCAGACTAAAAGCCGAACACTGACACCCCAGCTCCAACCACGCCTCGATCATGGATAACACGTGCGTAACATGAGCGCCCCAGGCGAATCATGAATCACTCGACCAAGTTCCTGACTTCTCCTACCCGACACTAGAATACCACGAGAAGACTACCCTACACACTTCCTAAAAGGATGAACACTTTGTCCAGTTCATGAGTATGTCGACCAAACGCATGAATATCACGAGCAATATCATGAATTATGTGCCTAAACTATGAATGTCACGGGCAATATCATGAACTACGCGCCTCAACTATAAATGTCACGGGCAATATCATGAACTACGCGCCTCAACTATGAATGTCACGGGCAATATCATGAACTACGTGCCTAAACTATGAGTATCTCGAGCACAGTCATGAATCAGGCGCCTAGCGCGCTTGAATCTACTGGGCATTACTTCCAAAATATAGATTTCTAACATAAAAAATATCATCAGAGCTACCTACAACACAGAAAAACAGGAGGAAGGGACACTTACTTGGAAGAAGAGGGGTACAAACGACGGTGGCGAGAGAAATCAACGACGAAGGGTGTGACGGTGTCACGGTGTTATGGGAACCAACGGCAGCGGAAACAGAGAATGAAGGAGGAGCGTGAAGAGGAAAAAACATATTATGGGCCCAAGGATCCTATTTATAAAGATGACGTGGAATGTGAAATGTCACTCCGGGGAGACACGAACTTCCTCCATCCTCGACACCTACCCGCCTAGGCAATGATGGCCCTATTTGCTAGGGCGGCGTTTCAGTTCCCAAGGACTACGCCACGTATCCGACAGACGCAGCCCGAAGATCCCCGCGAGAGTTCCTCGAGCACGCTTCGAAAGGCAAAGCCAGGGGTCGGGCATTAGGTCCCCGCGGAAAAAGCAAGATGAGATCAAGTCATAACTCATGTGCCAGGAACAATGACCTGGGGGGCTCCTGTTCTGGACTGGGCCCACCCTGGCCCAAAGTGCAAATAATGGCCCAGGTTCAAGCAGCTCCTCGGGGAGTGCGCACAAGCGGACCATCACCGAACATGCCCGACCACAGACTACAGCTGTAGTGCCTGCCGTTGCCCACAACGGGCAATGTCCCCGACTTGGGGAACTCCAGCTCAAGCCTGGCTCAGGCATCCTCCCTGTAGGGCAGATTCTGTCCACTCCAACCGTTATGGGATCTTCAAAACTCCGGAAAGATCGCGTCTTCGTTCTTCCTCATTCTTCGCAGAGCACTACCCAGGAAGGGGACCACGTGCGGGTCCCCACTACACACGTAGAACCTGGAAGTCCTTTTATTGGGCCAGTTCTGGTCGGCCCAATGAGGGGACCTTGGCCCAGCGTTGGGGCTATAAATACCCTCTACTTCAAGAGGGTCAGGTATTCATTCATTACACACCTACGTATTTTTTCCTGCTCATTCTGTCTCTCATTTTATCATCGGAGTGTCTTACAGATACCCCCTCCCCCCACTTCATCCAAATTCAGTTCGAGCCAGTTGTGACGGTCCAAGTCTGATCCGGTAAGATCAGTACCCAACAATGATTTCTTATGTTGAGTCTCTAAGTTGTTTCATCACCTTCAATATCAAGTGCGTATAATCTGAGAAAGGAAAATAACATCAATGAGTCACAGGTAAAGTCTTGGAAAAAGTTTAGCATCTTAATGTGCTTGAACAAATTAGATAGTATAAGGTTGGATGAACTGCATTGTAATATGTGTAACTTGCAAGTAGGGGAAATTTTACATGCTTTAAAATTCACCAGATTTCTCTTTGGCACTTACTTTTTGATGTGGCGAAATAAAAGAAATTCATGTTATGAATGTTACAAGACCGTCGAAACAATAGATTTGGATTCAAAATCAATCTCGAGACTACATATAAGTTGTGAAAAACCAATCTCGAGACTACATATAAGTTGTGAATTAAGTGAAAGTTAGGCGCAAAAAAATATAGCTAAACTAAAATTTTGTATGATAAGGCCTCTCCAATGACAGGGTGGATTAGGGTGGCAAATAGATTTGGAGGATTTACCTTACCATCATCAAAATTAAATCAGACACCCCCATATTTTTTTAATACTAAAAATAGTCCTGGTAAAAAAAAGAACAACATTTTCAAATTAAATTTCTGGTACCATGATGAAAATTTTCGGTAAGTGTAGAATTTTCGAAAGTTAATTTAAAATTTCCGGTAAATTGTATATTTTTCTGAAATTTTCAAAATCTACCATTTTGTATTGAAAATTCAATTGAAGGGTGAAATTTTCAGTAGTGTATTGATTTAAAAAATTTTAACTATCAAAATTTTGCCAATAGTTTTGTAGGATTGTGATATCACCGACAATTTTATATGATCTTGGATGAATCCAAAATTGTATAAATAGGGACTTATGTTATAGAGAAAGACATCTCAAAAAATGTGTCTTCCTCAATTTATAATTACGGAAGAATTGTATTTCAACAGAGACAAATCTCTTGTTTAGTTCAAGCTTCAGATAGCGACACATCTCTCGCTAACTTAACAGACAAATTGAATGAATTGATGTCTGATATCGATAAAAGAAGGATGAGAAAAATCAAGTTTCAGAAAGATTGGATTGATAGTAGTGAAAGGGTTACATACAACTTGATTGAAGATGTGACAGTCATGTGGAAATCATTTTGCCGTAGAATAACTAAGGAGTTGATCGAGTTTGATGCGCAGATTACAAGATCTGTCGACGACATAATCAAAATGTTGAAACGTCTAGAATCATCTGGTAGTTCCTAGATTTTCATGTTTAGTTGTTTTTAATTTATGTTTGATGTACTGTTTTATGTTATGTTCATCTTCGAATCGAAACATGTAATCGCCAAAATATTATGCAATAAAAAGTAATGTGATAAGTAATCTGAATAAGAGAATATGCATATAATACAACTATCATATAATGCATCTACATAAGCCCCCACAGGCTATGTGTGCTAGCCGAGATAATCCTGTAAAAACCTCACGATTCAGATTTACCAAATCCATGTGGTTATCCGCAATAACGACAATCAATTAGAGGCGATCATGACCATCTATGACTGGTGAAGGTGGTGGCAGCATGTCGTCAACTTGTACCTCAACATCAGAAACCCTAGCAGAAGACCCCCCAGCATAAAAAAATCCTACATCATGTGATATGATGCGAGGGTGTGATATAGTGAGATACCACTTCAGGTAACCGTCCTCACACTACGATGGGTGTTAAACCCTCACTGCACTAGATCTAATGGCACAGGCATAGAGATGATGTTAGTCTAAAACCATATGTCAATGCCCCTTTATGGAGCCACCAAAATTGTTTGAGGGATGCTCCGGACATAATTATATTGTCCCAGACATCTCTCAGGCAAGGGTCTGACAACATGGGTCTCCCACCACATATGCTTCGAATATAAGGAAGAGTCGCCAAATGCACGATAAGTCCAGTGAGTTATGTATGGTGTCCAAACAACATCTACTATCAAAACATCAAGCCTTCACATGTACTATGCAACACCATCATGAGGAGCTTGTCTTGCCTTCCATATTATGTCACAGGCCTAACCAAGATTGAGTTCACAACATCTACCATTTCCACTCCACCCAACACCATTTTTTCTTTTTTGCAAACACAAGCATTAACAAGGCCTATCCAAGATTTTGGGTTCGCAATCTCTATAATACCACCCCCCACCCCAAGACCATTATTTTGTTCCAAACACGGCGGAATTCACAAAGTATATTGGCCGATACCTTTTTTTTAAGGTCTAATAACAAAATAAATTGTGGGGGACCAGAGATGTTACTATTAACAAACAAACACCAGTTCACTTTAAAAATATGAATACAGCTGCTTATCAGAGTGAAGACCATCTATTAACATAGAAGATATGAAGATAACATATTTGAAATGGAGCATCAGTCATGAACTGGTCAGAGATAACATGAGAAGGGAGTGCAAAATAATTCAAACATAGAAAACAAAGACAGTCTATTCCTTAAATGTGCATGTTTGACATTAAAAAACTGTTTTCTCAAAAAGATGTTGGATTACATAGAATAAGCAAAGGGTAACAAAATTAAACGTCTAAACCAATATTATACCAAATTAATTCAGCAAAATAAACTAGAACAATTTGTCAATGATATAACAACATAAACCTATCCTATGAAACTTGAATGAAATACACATATTACTTCTTTTTATCACCAGCACCACCAGCCCTGCACACAACAAGAAAACAGCATAAGTATTTATTACTATCAAAAATAGTACCTTCACATAATATAATGACAATCAGATAACTATTAGGAATCACAAGGTGTATGCATAATACCAACAAAAGAACATGGAACAACCTCATCTTTCTAAGAACATTAGACATCTCCTCGCGCTTCTTCTTTGCGCGTTTATGGGTTCCAAGCTTTCTCTTGGCAACTTTAAGTGCCCTCTTGTCTTTTCCAACCTTCAATAACTCAGTTATTCGCTTCTCATAAGGCGCAAAACCTGCAACCTCACGGATGAGATTCCTCACAAAATGGACCCGCTTGCTAGTTTTCTGTTGAAGAAAACATATCAAGGACTTTACACTAAACTTCAAATAAACTCGCATATAAATCATAATTCAAAAAAGAAAACAAAACTGAAAATGTTACCCCTTTACGACTTGAGGGTCGTGTAGCCAACTCCTTCTTGGTAACAACATGACCCTTGTTCAATCCTACAAAAAGACCCGTACTTGCCTGCTTCGGAGCCATTTTCCTGCTCCAAATAACAAAATCACCAACAATTTACACAAATTAACATTTGAAACAAACAATATAAAATCAACATAAAGCATAAAGCATAAAGCATGATTCAACAGAGTAATCATTTGGATTTGAATTCATTTTTCCTTAAAACATAAAACGTATAAGGAATTGAACAACAACAAAATCTAACATCAGAAAAACAATATAGCGAAAAATGATAAATCGTAATTTTTTTTTCCTTCAATTTTCTTACCTGTTGCGATGATGTGTGTGGAGACTGAAAACAGAGATTAGGGTTTGAAGGTACTCTTTTAAAAACAATTTCGGGTTGAAAGGTTTCGGTTTCGGGCCGGGTCATTGAATCCGATTAATTGGAAATTATGAGGCCCAAATAGAGAATCTTATGTGACAACTCCATATTTTCATAATACTAAAAATATTCTCTTGTTTTTTTATTAATAACATCACTAAGAATTCAGTAGTTTATAAAAAAATGGGTTTAAGTTTTTTGATGAAATATTTTAAACATTTGGTGTGTATAAAAAATGTTACTGGTTTTTCCAAAAAGTTTGATATAGTAGATAAATAAATAAATTGATCTATTGTATTTTTTTCAATATTCGATCACACCCCTGCATATACTGGTAATTCTAAATTTTTGGTATATCTATATTTAGTAAAAATCATTTTTTTTACCAAATTTTTGAAATCGTTGATACCAAACCGACAGTATAGAAATATCTGGAAAAAAATCAATATTTTGTTTGCATTATTATCGACAATTTTCGCATTGTCGGCAAAAACTCATATAGACATCCCACATATTTATAAATTGTTGGTAAAAATGCAAACAAAAATTAGATTCGTTAAAAAGTTGTAATTCATTATTTTGTAGAAAAAGTTTGTATTCGACATAGGTGTGTTCGACATAGTCGAATACAATATATAGTTGCTATGTCGAAGCCAAAATGTAACTTTGTATATTTTGGGCTTGGATTATATGTTCTCGACTTGGGCCCTAATCTCCTATAAATAGGATTGACGTTGTATAGTTTTATACACTTAACAGTTTAATAGCTTCACAAGTTTTGAAAATTATTCATAATTCTTTCCTTTTTCTCTTCAATCTTCTTCCTCATCTTTCTTGAAAACCCAAATTATTCCAACAATTTAGTATCAACGACCCCGATTGTGATTCAGAGAGAATTTGTAATGGCAAACAGAACAACAACATTAATGCAATTTCCAGTGAATCTACGAGTTTTCAAAGGTGAGAGCTATGAGGGGCTGGTTGCGTAAATGAAGATCATCTTTAGATTTTAAGATGTGTCTAAAATCGTGAATGATGGACTACCGACACTAAAAGTGAATGCAAATGATGTTCAGAAATGTGTGTACAAGGATCAAAGGAATACAGATGGAAGTTATGTTCTTGATTCACTGATGTGTGGATCCTAACGTGTTTGAGAAGATCATTAAAGAGGAAACATACAAAGGACTGCGGGAGAAGTTAAAGAACTTGTACGACGGAGATGAAAAATTGAAGAGGGTGAAGTTGTAGGCGCTGAGAAAGAAATTTGAGATGACTGTGATGAAGGAAGATGAATCAGTCTCAAAATTCTTTCGATGTGTAGTGTTGTTAACGAACAAGATGAAAGTGTGTGTTGAATCAATCAACGATTTGTAGAAGATTGAGAAAGTGTTGAGATCTCTTGTTGCAAATTTTGATTACATTGTATTGTCAATTGAAAAGTGAAAGAACCTAGCTAATATAAAGTTGGAAGAACTACAAGCTTCATTAGAGGCTCGCGAGATGAGGCTGAAGCAGAGGAACTTAGAAAGGGAGAAGATGGATGTACACACACTACAAGCAAGATTCATCAAGAAGTTTGGAAAAGAGAAAGCAAAACAGAGAAAGAATCTTGTTAATGATGAGAAGTCATGTGAAAATTCAAAGAATCACTCTGACTCAACCAAGAAAGACTTGGGTAACAAGTATTCAGGAAAGAAAGTTGATCTGGAGGAGGTGCAGTGTTACAGCTGCCAAGCTTTGGCCATTATGCTCGAGACTAACGAAGAAAGAAGGAAGCACGAGCAAAAGATAATGATGAAGTGGAATATGCACATACTGGAGATAATGACTTTGATGATGTGTTATTTATGTCCAATACCTTATCGTATAATGAAGATACCAATACGTGGTAATTGGATTCAGCATGCAGTAACCACATGACTGATAATAAAAACGGGTTCACCAAGTTAGATGAATCAGTTAAGAAATTGATCAAGTTTGTAAATGGCATGCACGTCACATCAGGTGGAAAAGGAAACATATATGTGGTTAGAAATGATGGTCAAAAATCTAGTATCACTGATGTGTTATATGTACCTTTGATGACAAGTAACTTGATAAGTATAGATCAATTACTTTCTAAAGGGTATTGTGATACGGTGAGAGAACTGACTTTGGGTTTTGCGTTTGTGTTTGCAAATGTTGCAGTTTAGTAAGAGTCGCCACCGACTTTTCTTTTATCCAAAAGGAATGATGAAAAAGCACATGAAAGACCTTTCAAGATGTTTTCTTGAGTTCGGGGGGTAGATTATGAAAAGGAAAGGTATTAGCACCCTTTTCATCCATGGTTTTCCATAGGCTCTTATTTACTTGCTAGATCACTTGCTTTTAGTTTGAAAATATGCTTTGCGTGGTTTTTTGAAAGTATTTTGAAAAGGCGCCATCATTTTGGCAAACTTTTATAATGATTCTTGTTCGTAAGAATGTATACAAAGGTGTTGAGCTTTTGAAAATATTTCACGTTTAGGAAGTGTTTTGAAAGTGTTTTGAAAGTGTTTTGAAAGTGTTTTGAAAATGTTTTGAAAGTGTATGTGATTGTTTTTGAAAATAGCAAGGATGTTTATTTTGAAATTGAGCAAGCAACTAGGAGCGAATCTACCTACTCAAAAGGTCTTAGGTGTTTTTTTTCTCCTCCTTTAGACATTGCTATCTTACCATTGTTTTGGTAAGAATCCCTATCTTTGGATGTGAAGGGACGGGCGTTGGGTCATCGTATGACCATGATAGCAACGTTGTGAGATGACTTAGCATTTTTTCTTTAGGGACTAAGATCATTTTGAAAGGCAACTTTGATAGCGTCATCGAGGGACTATGATCTCGTATTTTGATTTGTTTATGCTAAGACATCCCACATGCATAATGTTGTACCCCAAAATTTTCCCTCCCATATTCTTCAAGATTTGGCAAGATCAAGCTTCAAAATCCCTCAAGGGTTGCACAGTCCAATTGCCTCCTAACACAGTCAAAATTAGGGTTTTGGTTCTGGCAAAGAAAATGAGGTTTTCAAGGGTCCAATCAAGTCCTATATGCCCATATACATTGTCAAGCATCTATATGCCAAGTTTCAAGACTCACAGCATCAAGTTGCCCAGTCAAAAACCCTAATTGCTTCACAATCAACTGTAGGGGCAAAATGGTCATTTGACAGTCAAAAGTCAAAAATTTTTGTCAACATCTTATTTTGAAGCCACAATCATAATTTGATCAATTCTTGATCATGATTCCACAAGCATGGCTCAAAAAGTCTCAAGATGCAAAAGTTTCTATTTTTGGACAGCTGAAAAGTCAACTGCAAATTGACCAAGGCATAACTTCTTCATGGTTTATCAGAAAAATCCCATCCAATGCTCATTTTGAAGGGGATGACATTTCCTACAACTCATCTTCACACTCAAAGTCCAAGAAATGTTCTCACAAAAAGTTATCAATTTCAACATTATAGGTCATTTTTAAAAGTCAACAAAAAGGCACTTTAAGTCAAAGACCATAACTTGAGATTGGTAAATCAAAATGACATGGGATAAAAGACATTGGTTAGAGGACCTCAATACCTTTCCAAAATGTCCAAGAACATGATCATAGCTTCAAAATTGAGCAAGATATGCATTGGAGAAGTTGGGAAATTTTTGGGAACTTTCAAAAGTCAACTTTGCCTAAAACACTTCAAATTTGCTAATGGGCCTCAAATTCTTTCTTGAATCATTACCCAAAGCCTATGCACGACCCATTGAGCTTAAAAGGATTTATTTTCTTATTTTTAATTAATTAATTGAATTTTTATTCTTATTAATTCATTTAATTAGTTTTAATTGTAGAAAAATATCAAATAATGGTTGTCAAATCTTTTTATGCAGCAAATATACTCCACACATGCTAAGGATTTCGTGCATCAATCAACAAGACAAGATCTTCCATAATTGGCAAAGTTTCCATGGAAAAAGATTGAAAAAAGATATGATTAGCAATCAAATATTCAAGTCATTAATCCATGGACTTGTGGGCTTATTTTTGACCTAGAATCATTCACATACAAAGGCACAAGTGAACCCTAGTGCAGAAGACACGAAAAAGCTGCTGAAAACTCATAACCAATTTGCAAAAAAATAGAGAAAAAGCTTGAAACTGATTTCATAGTTGCAGGATAATTCAAGGCCTAAAGTTTATTCCAACGGCTTGCTGATATTGCCAGGAAGCGTTTGCAATCAAGAACTAGCCCAAACGCATAAAGAATCCAAGAACACGAGCCAAACGGTTTGCTTTGTTTTCCAATTTGGCATAACATGATTCATGCACTTTTAACCATTTTTCTTGTTTGATTTACACTAATAGGTACCTTCTGAAGCGATTGGTATAAGTTAATTGGACTAACACTGCCTTAATCCAAATCCACCATGGACGAAAATTAGGTTTTCTGAAGCTTGCATTTGGGGCTTTAGGCATAGGGAAAAATTGGACCACGTCATGGCTATGGTTGAATTCGTCAAAGCCAGACGAATTCAACCAACATCTCGCGCTCAATTTATATTTCCTCCTCTTCTATTCGCTATTATTCACTATTCCACTTCGTGGGGGTTTAAAACCCCCGCTACTTGTTTTATATTTTGCAGGAAGAACGAAGAAGAAGCATGCGTGGCGTCCTGTAACTGGAGCATTC